GGGGGGGGGGAAATCTGGTCAGCTATATTTCTTACAGACTGAATTATGCATTCGTTTCTAGAAACAGGGAGCATTCCACTTTAATTGATAGACATAATGCAGCACTTGCAGTTTATTATCATAGTGAAAAGGGCACAGCTGAGACTTGCTTAAAAATGTATTTTCATGGTTTGGTTATTCAGAGCAACATCAATAAGATTCTCGGTGGATGTTTGAGATGGACAACAGATTCTGCTAGCTAAGTGGTACCTGTCCATCGAGACCACTGCTTTTGGCTACAGCTTTTTAAAATTAACACAGACTTTTTCTTCCTGAGTTCTTGCAGTTCTAAAGAACAATCAGACTTACTATCAGTTCATGGCAGGCTGTCAGTAGGACCGTTACTGTGCTCAGAGTTGGGCTTATGCTTAACTGAATTGCTGGATCAAGATGATAGAATGTCAGGAAGCAAAGAGCAGAAACGTTTGTTCTTCTTGGCAGCAGCATTTTCAAGTTTTCATGAAGTGTTTTTTTTCTCTCAAAGAATTCTCAAGGGGAGGGTGGAAAAAAGCTAATGCTAGGGGTGCTTTAGTAGTCTTATGTTTTAACCTATTTGTTCTAAACAGCTTTTTAAACTGGTAATCCTGTTGCCAAGGCTAACTCTTTAAATAGAAATAATGTATTTCTTAATTTGTAATATTATTATTAGGTGTATATTGCTTTTGTTCAGTTAGCATTATTACAAACAGTAATGGGGTTACTATCTTTACCATTATTAAGTTCATGGTTTAATATTTTTGGGCAACTTGGGAGGGTGATCTTTACATTCTGTCACATCCTTCTTCCCTTTGTACCCATACTAAGTTTTCAGTATTATTGTATACTACCGACAATATTAACAGACTAGTAAGTGTGTTGTGGCAACACTATAAATGCTTTGAAGTCAACAGAATCAATTAGTCTTTAGACTATTTGTAAACTACATTAAAACAAGAGTGATGCTTCTCTTTCTAACTAGAAAAGTGCTAAGAAAACCAAGAAAACACAGCATTCAGATCGCTTGTGATACTGTTACTGCATGACCATAATGCAAATAAGTCATTTGGAGTCTTACCTTCATGATAACGTTCATAGATAGCTTAGTGCAACAGACTAGAGTAACTAATTTTTCACCCTTTTGAAGGTCTGAGCCATCAATAAAAGATGGCATCAGAAAAAATTGCTTATTTGACTTATTTTGGTAACATACATATTAGAAAAATCAAAAGTTACAATTTTGTGCTTTTGTGTCACCACTGTCTCCTCAGGCAGCAAAGTATTTAAAGCTCAACTGTAAGCACCAATATTCTTATAGAAGTGTTTTGTCAGATAAGAACCAGTGTCTCGCACAGCACTTTTCACCTACAAATTTGTAGCCAGAGTCAGTGTATTCCTCCCCTTGCAGTTTCCTCCGTGCTGTCCAGATAAACAGCAATAACCATGCTAGTGCTTTAAAGCTGTTAAAGATAAATCCCTACCCAGGTAACTCAGTTTAAGCTTCTGTATTAAAGCACCTGTGTAGAGCAGAGTTTCTGATAAGCTTCCGTGCCTACCAGAAATGGTTTGCTCTGAGCAGACTGCAGATGTTTCTAAAGATTTTTATTGTAGTACTTCCTGTCTGAGAGTTGCAATGGTTAGTGACAACTGGAGATAAAGTGGACTTCAGTTAACCGGTAACCTCTTTTTTAGAATTAAGATACAAACTTCCCCAGTTTCCATTTAAAGTATGTATACTATGTATGTATTATATAGTGGTTATTTTAATTGAAAAATGATGTTTCAGGGAGTGGTCAAACTCATTTTGGACCACAGCTTCAGTGAATAAGCAACTTTTCACAATTGTTGCTTGGGATCCTCGGGGATATGGACAGTCCATTCCTCCATCTCGAGACTTTCCTCCAGATTTCTTTGAGAGGGATGCAAAAAAGATATACACTTGACAAAGTCTCTGTTTGGAAATCCAGGACCTCATTTCATGTACATGAAGCAGTGGGAATTAATTATAAAGCAATATGTTTTTATTCCAAGACCCTGCCCTGAGAGGTTTGCAGCCAAGATCCAAGTAAGTTTAGGTAAACTGTATATAAAAAACAAAGTCTATGCTAAGTGGTTTAACTGAAAGGATTACAGTAGCGAAAGGTTCTTAGAAAATTTTCTAGCTGATAGAATCTTGGCATTTTGCCTTGAGCAGCCTATTTCAAGAAACATTTAATTCTAAAAATTAACTTGACACTTTGCATTTTACAGCATATTACTGAAATAATTTGTGTGGGAAATCGATTGTACTAGATCTTAACAACTAATACAGCTGTTGTGATTGTAAGGAGTATGACCTAAAGCTGTTATTACTTCTCCATCTTGCAGAATTTTTTATTTCAAATCTATGTTTCTGTGCTCCTCTTTTATTCTGTCCTGTGAGTGCTAAGACTATTTTCTGCTTTAGTTTTAACTAATATTTTGGCTTTGTTATGTTAAGCTATACAATCTCTTTGGCCATGCTAAGAAAGTTGGCAGAGCGTTAAAATTCCCAAAATATGAGACAAGATTCAGACAGTCAGTCCAACTGTATTTCTGTAATGAGCAGTAACCTTGCAGAAAGCCATCTGAAACTGGAAATGCAGCCTTCCTGGAGCATTCTGCATAGCAAAACAGAATAAGTCTGACAGCGGAGTCAGGATTAAGACACAGTTTTGCCCTCTAACCATAAAAGCAATCTCTCTGCGCTGTAAATCACCAATTTCTTCTGCTACGCAAACAAAGAAAATAAAGATGGTGCCATGGATAGGTGACAAGCTTTCAGTCTGAATGGTTGTAACCCCCTTTCCTGCCTCTATTCAAATACTAATAAACGCAAAATAGAAAACAGAGCTGTCACCAAAGAGTGTGTAACCACATAGCTTCCAGTCAAACAGGACAGCAGCCTACCAGTCTCTAAAGCTGCCAAAATAAATGAGATGTAGCATCCTGTTTTTTTGAAGATGTTAGTTGATATAAGCATATAATAACAAATTATTAAAATCTTCCCAAGCATGGGTAACTTGCTTCTATTTTAGCATAACATAAAGGATAGCACAAATCCCAAGGAATCATCCCAACTAGGATTTCCAGAATAAAACTAAGTCACAACTCCGGCAGAGGGCTTTATAATGATGTATGATTTGCATACATCATCTGGCCTACACTCGGCCAAAAAGCCCATCCATGTAGGTGAGCCTTCAGAACCTTTATTCTACGCTCCTTCAGATTCTGGTATCTCTGCTGGAGCTGTGAGTCCTGAAGGTTTCTGTGAAATAACAAAAGCTGAAATTCTGCAGGGTATTTACCTTGGTGCAGAGGACACCACTCTGCATCACCGTATGTGTTCTGTGAAGGAGTTTTCTTGAAATAAAAGGAGTATAATGGAAATAAGTCTGCTTTGCTGCACTCCATCCCAGTGTCTAATGCTAGCAAAGGCCAATAGCATTAAAACAGTTATTATGGAAATAATCTGGTGTTGATATTTAAGAGGTTCTTACCCTTCAGAGCTACTGTCCTAGCGAAAGGATGAGCTTGGGCTTCTCCAGGTTTCTGTACATCAGCCGCAACTCTTACTTGTGGTATAGTCCCTGTGATCCAATGAAAGCGTACAGTGCAGAGTGCTGTTGTATTGCAGCTCACTGTTGTAAGTTACTACTGTCACAGCATATGTGATCATTTGATTGCATTTCACACACGCCTGGATGGAGGAGGTGATTTCAAAAGAGATTTTGTTCACTTATGGGGTAAAGCCAGCACAAAATCACCCACAGAACTGAGCTGTGCAACCAGCCGTGCAGCCATCTCCCAGGCTATTGCCAATGTTAGGTAGAGGTCTGTCCCGTAAGTAGATCAACATTAAAGCAAGCAAACATGCATACCATATTCAACACATCTGCTACATCATGTTGGTTTTTGGAAGGCCGCAAAAGATATATTAAATTCCTCCTGCTGGAGAGGCACCCCGAGACAACCCAAAGAATGCATCAAGATAATGGCTAGTAAACAGGAGAGATACTGGAGGCAAATAGACCTCAGCTGAAGCACCGGCAGATAAACTGGTATGAAGAACAAAAAATTTTAATCAGTTATTCCACCCATCAGCTGACTTTGAGATCCATAATTTGCTAGTGGCGGTAGGAGGACAGCAGCAGCAACAGCAAAAACTTAAGCTTTACAAGCACTGCTACCAACTCCTGAAGCTTGCCAAGACACAAGTAACCCTTCAGCAGCAAGACACTGAAAGTTGGTCAGAGATTACTTTTTCAGCAGGCCAGGGCCAACTTGTGATCAGCTGCTAAAATTCTAAGTTCTCTTTTCTTGCTGTCAGCTCTTACTTTAAATGTCCTTTTCTTTCCCCTACCTTATTTCTTTGCTCTTTAGTAACTATAGCTTAGCAGAGTGAAATCTAATATTGAACAACGCCACAGGGAGCCTAATACCAAGGAAGAAGCAAAACCAGAAAAGCCTTATTATGGTGATAGAAGTTTGCTAGGTGTTGAGTTGGCTGATAAATTTATGCCTCACTTAAGCATCAAGTTTATAAGCAGGCTAGAAACTACTTTTGCTCTCTCTGTAGTTGTTTCTCTCATTGCCTGCATTTCTGCTTGCTTCTGTCCAAAGAAGGCAGGCCTGGACGTCCAACACTAAAACACCAAGCACCAAAACAGCTCATTCAACTAACTTGCTCTTTTTCCTCCAAAAGTACTCTATCATTCTTAATTACATCTAAAAAGCTGTAACTCCTGGAAAACAAACAAACCAACCAACCAACAAAACCAAAAGAAACCCCTTTGAAACCTTTATGTTTGTTTGCAAAAGAGTTCACAAACTGAGGCTTCTGTATGCAAAATTGCAAATACTGCTTAACCATTGAGCATCTTCCTGGCCCAACCTCCAGGCGCGTTTGCTACCGAGCGCCTTTGCCTTCCGCACCCTCTGCCCAATGAACGCCACACACAAAATCATCTCTCCTGCCCCTGCTGGTATCCTCTGCCACAGGCTGTGGCATCAGGAAACAAGACTTTGAAATGCTAGTGGAAAGCATTGTACAAGTCAGGGAGAATTAAGGTCTTGTTTGCAATATTTTTTGCCCTGAGCCTTCCTTTTGAAGAAGGAGGAATTTCATTATTAATGTTTTGAATTTGAGTTCACCATGAAGTAACATTTAAAATGTACACTTAAAAGCCTCAGAAAAAATGTGAATTAGGCACTAAAGTTTGATACAATCCTGTAGCAAATACTTTGAGTGTTTTTTGGTTGTTACGGAGCAGATTAATTTTTTTTCAGATTAGCTAGCATCAGTAAATTAGATCACTGAGTTTTTCAAGTCTTAAATTTTAAGTCTTAAACATTTTTTGAGTCTTTAACTTCTCTTTTTCTTGAATTCATCTTGGTCTTGGAGAACCCACAGATTCTTGATACCATCAGGCTCTCTGAAAAAGTCTTTACTCTCCATTGTAAATAAACTTATCTTAATTGCAAGAGGGGTTTTTTACATGCAGCAAAAATCTAATATGGCTACTGCCTATTTCATTAAATAGTTGTAGAAAATTGGAAGAGCAGGTATATTTTTTTTTTCCCAAAATATTTGACCTTAAGTATGTTTATGTATAGGAGGAAAATTGTATTTTGTAATTATGAAAGCTAACTATAGTTCAGCTATGTAGTGTTGTGTCTAAATCTGTACTGTTAGTTTTCAATAAATATTTGATATGTGCTCATAAAACCAGTTGATGATTTTCATATAACTTTCTTGTACAAATCAAGGCACTGAAATTTAAGAAGTTCTCGTTGCTGGGGTGGAGCTATGGTGGAATTACAGCACTCATTGCAGCTGCAAAGTATCCAACTCTTATCCACAAGCTGGTTGTCTGGGGAGCAAATGCCACCGTTACTCAAGAGGATGTGAGAATTTATAATGGTATGTACAAACTGAATATTGTATCCTAAAAGAATTATTTTAATTTCTTCTTGCACCTAAGAATCTTAGTCATGTAACAGCTAAGCAGAGACGGAGTTGAGGACCCAACAAACCTAAAGGAACAGGACACAAGATTCACCAAGTCACCAAGTATAGGGATAGATTAAAGTTATAGTGAGAAACTCCCTAACAATTACTCTCGGGGTAACATTATAGAATTTTTAACAAGTCCTTATCAACTTACACTGCTGAAAAGCAGAAGTTATAATAGCTTATCAGTAGTTTTCAGAAAGTCAAATCTTTGTTGCTGTAACAAATTCCTGAAAATAAGTTCCAAACAATACTAGTGACCCCAGGCTGGATTTCTTTTCTCACGTCTTGCACAACCTTTAAACAAGGTCCACAGAAAATCACTGGGCTAGCACATAACAGCTTTTGCCTCTAGGGCCTATATAATACATAGACAGTAAGAAAACAAGCTCAAAACTTGCCATTTGAGTTCAGGAGGCAAATGAATCATTCAAATAAGTGTCCCGGGATGCCTTTCTAATTTGCATTCCTTTAATGTTCATTACTGTGGTTACAAAACCTTTGCAAAGTAAAGAAACATGGGATTTTTGATCCTTGTTCCACTCATGTAATAGAATCTGGTCATTTGCCACTCTAAAGGAAAACAGCAAAAACAGCTAGTGACCTCAGAAAGGGACTGTATTTCCTTTCGAATTAGAAATTAAACAAGTTAACCGTGCAGGCTCTCAACAAATGTAACCCAGTAGTTTCATTTCAGTGACTGGAGTTTGATTTATACCAGCTGTGATATTTGACTGGTTTCAGCTAAATTACAAGTGTATGTATGCACATGTGCACTTACCTCACCTATATTAAAGCTTTCATTGGTGGTAGTAGTTGAATATTTTTTAATTCAGTAAGCAAAATGCTTTTTATCTCTGTAAAAGTGCTGCTCTATTTCTTTACACGCTTTTATATTTATGAATTTTTTATGATATAGTTATGTAATGCATGCCAGTTAATATCAGCCAACAGGCTAAAATGTAAATTAAAAAATTGAAAAAAAAGAGGAGTCTTACTTTACCCAGAGCTCCCACAGCAGTGCTGACTTTTAACCTCTTCGTGGACTGGTGCTTTCAACACCTCTCTCCGGCCGATGGAGCACTGAGAGCAGCCGCGTGAGCCTTCCACAACTGGCCCAGCAGCGCATCTCGGCTGCAGCGGAGGGTTTGGTGGGAGAGAAAGGCGTTTATTTGGTATCTATGTCCTTTCAGCATCGGTTTCCCCCCGCCCGTCCGCCCGTCCGTTTTAAACTATGGCCAGCTGCAAGGGTAGAACACTAGACTGCATGAGGGAAACAGCTGTTCAGGAACAGCTAGCCTGGGGTGAGCAAACTCATTTCCAATCAGATGCCGTTCTAAAACACTTTCAATCACTGCTGCCTTGCTCATGTGGCTGGACAGGTTCTGTTTGTTAATTAACACCTCATTCCTTTCTTCCCTTAATTCCCATTTGAAGCCAGCCAAAAGCTTTTGCTAGTAGCATGTATTGCTGTTTACTTTTCAGGTCTCTTTCAAGTTCTCATGATACCAACATTGTTTTGGGCTTTGTCAATACAAAGCTGTACAGCTGAAATACAGTTTAGTGAAAGTCACCCTTGTGGATATCTGGTTTGTGAGCAGTACTGAAAATTTTAGGGGGGGAGGGGAAGGTACATCTGATAATAAGTAGAATGTGAGATTATTTGTACAGCTTTAGCCAGCCTGCCATGAGTCACAGGACTCCACTAAGTAGAGTTGCTTGCTTTTCTGTAAGACTATGGCAAACGTACCATGATGTCAGCCTGCTGGAATGCCTTAGTAAGAGCTTCCTTCCTCCGAACACTGGTAGGAGTCATGGAAGAACCTCCATCCATGAGCCAAAGCAAAAAGCTGAAGGATATAAAATGAATTGCCAGCTCTGGCACACTGCTGTGAAACAGTCCCCTTTTTATACACAAGGTACCTCCCTGAGCTCCTCGCATGCAAGCCCTCCAAAAAGAAACATGAGAAGTTTTAGGACTGAGTCCCTTGATTATTTTTTTCTGTTGTTCCTTGTGACCATAATAACAAGACAGTCGTCTGGAACTCAGAAAGACCCCAGCAGAGATCATAAGCCTGCCTTTTTTTATACCCTTTCCATACTATGAATGACTTGAAACCCTTCAGTGCAGTTTCAAGTTTGAAATACGCATTTGCGATCTGGTTTGAAAACTTACTCATATTAGGTGTTGACAATAGTGGGTTGTATCTTGTTGCTGGAAAGGATTTAACATATTTCAATGTTATTTTATGTAGGCATCCGAGATGTTTCAAAATGGAGTGAAAAAGTCAAGAAACCACTGGAAGAGATGTATGGACATCAATACTTTGCAAAAACCTGTGAGGCTTGGGTAGATGGAATATCTCGCTTTGCTGAAAAGTCAGGTGGTAAGGCTTTTACAGTGTTAAACTGAAGCAATTGTAGTAGCAGGCAGTTCTGGATAAAAAAAAAAAAAAAAATCTAACAGTACTCCTAGCAGCCAGTAAAGGAAGGACTCTGCATATGGCATTAAAAGCTGGGTCTGACTCACAGACTCATGAATAAAGCCATTACTTTGTAGCTGGTTCACATAACCAGTAAGGTACAGGAGGAAAACACATTTATGGGAAACATTAGCTGATGACTCTCTCCTGTTGTTCCACCACAAAACTACGTTATTAAATCATTGCTTTTGTGCAGACTGAACAGGAGGGTTTCTGCTCAAGCGTTTTTCTCCTCTCCTCTCTTAGTGTGGAAGGATTACCTCTTGGTGACATCGTTAAGATATCCCAAAAGTGAGGCGTGTTCATTCCAGTTTCTGTAAACAGGAGCTGAAGCACTATTTCAAACCTAGTAGCATATGAGTTAAAAAGGAAGTAAGTTCAGGAGAACTCAGAATTAACAAAACACATTTAAAAAACACTATTGACATAGCTTAAAAGTTTTAAAATCCAACAAGAATAGTTAAACAAGACAATATAATTATTAAATGTTTATCTCTGAAGATTTCTTCAGTTACTCCACGTAGACTTCTGCAGCCAAGGACACCATGAATAGTAACCTGCAGTTCTGTGATAATTCAGAGGAAAATTACTTTTAATTTGCCTAAAACAGATATACATAATACAGAAAACAAGGAGTCTGTTATTCTCTTATACACATTTTCCTGTACCACTCAATGAAAGACAGGTGATACGACAAGGAAAACATTCCTTCATTTTGTATTTGTTCCATAAATTTTTGCATAGGATCAGCAACATGGTACTAGAATTTCTCCCAGTAAAGTGATGTAACAAATTATGTTCTGATTTTATTTTACCCTTTCTAGAACGCATCTCCTTAAAACTAGTTTATTCTTAAGTCCAAAACCCAGGCCAGGAAACTCTGGCTATGACATCCTTTTGCTGCCTGCTTACGCCTCAAACACTATGAGATGGCATGACTGTAAAAAAGAAGCCATCTGGAGACATGTAACAGAGAGATGAATTACCTAGATGGTGTAACTGGGTCAGATATTGGGAGAAGCCAAACGTTTGCTAAAAAAAGACAAGCAACCAGCAGACTGCAGGTTTTTTCCAGGTGTAGCTTGGGGGGGGGGTGGAGCGACTGACACTACAAGCAGGTCTCCTTGGAATTAAGGTTAAGACACACTGCACAGAAGGTGCGGATAGGGCAAATACAAGAAAAGGGGTTAATAAAACCCATCAGAGATAAAAGGACAGCAAAGCCTTTGTTGGTCAAAAACTCAACCAAGCTCTTTTTAAGAAATAGACTATTTTCCCTAAATTGGACAGCTTTTAGTGTGAAATGCCATAAGAAATAAACTTCCAGAAGGTGCCAACACTTATTGAAACCAAGTTGCATAGAGCTGCAAAATTCAAGATTCTTCTTGCTGTTCTGTGTTTTTGGAGTAAATATAATCTAGTGATTATAGTACAAAACCATTTTAGGATTGGAAACTAGGAAATAATAGTTTGACTGCCAACTATGCCCTTAGGTAAATAACCTAAATTTACTTGTTACATGTTCTGAAAAACAGTCAACATTTATGCACGTGTTTGAGGACTAGGAGTGAAATGTTCTAAATGAAAATATTTAACCAGTAGAACTGCAAACTAAGACTATATAAATAACCAAACAATTGGAAAAACTCTGTGAAAGAGCATATGACTTTGGAGCTAAGGAAAATGTGCATGTATGAGCATTAACTTTACAGCTGTCAGTGGCTGCAAGGAGACAAGTACAAACAGGGCAAAGTTAGCTCAAAGATAAATGGAACGTAAAACTCAAGTATGTTTTGCCCAAAGGTTCTCTTGCGAGAGCACGGGAAGTTAGGCAAAGATTTTGGAAACTGGGTTACTAAGGGATGAGGAAAAAACATGGCGGGGGGGGATTTTCCTTTAAGGAAAAGCATTAAAATTACTTCTAGTGAGATTAAAGACTAGTAAGCATAAAATTATTCTTGAGCTTCTGTAAGATGAAAGGGTGGGATGGGGAGAATAATCTTTGCAGAGTCCTAGTACAATTTGTATTAAATGGTTATTCACTGTAGACAGCAAATGGTCAGGAAGGTGGAACAGGCATGAGGACAACCAAAGTTAACTTACTGATAGAAGTAGCAAATCTTACAACCTGACAACCAGTGTAATAAAATATAGCATCAACACGAAGGAGGGTTAGACTCTAAGGCTGAAAAGAAAAAAGCCAGGAAAGAGATGCTTGTGTTCGCTTTGAACAGTCAAGGAGAGCCTGGGGGAGACGTGGGACAGAAGTACTTCATTTGCTCTACCCAGTTGTGCTGATATCCACTAATGAAGCAGATTTCAGTGAAGTAACATTTTGGAGAAAGAAATGTTAATTAAAGTCCTGATTACACAGTCCGGTAGATTAGTTGTGCACTATCCACAAGGAGAGGCAGTAGCTAGAACCCAGTGGAGTTCACAGTCCTTTACAGAGCAGTTTCAGTCTTTCATACTATTTTAAAATGAAGTGTGACCTTCATTTGTTTTCTCCCTAGGTAATATCTGCCAACAGTTGCTGCCAGATATTAAATGTCCCACATTTATAATTCATGGTGAGAAAGACCCTTTGGTCCCACAAGCTCATGCAGAATACATTCATAAGCACATCAAAGGCTCTCAGTAAGTTATGTGATGGAGTATTTATAAACCATTGTTGAAGAAATGAAGCAGTTCAAACCCACAGCATAAAAAAAAAAGTATTTGGATAAATTGTCTCTGCCAGAGAGCGCTATTCCAAACTCCCCTAGCAAGTTACAATGCAAACAGTGTAGCTGGACCTTTCTTGTGATAGAAGAAGTACAATATTTTCATAAGCTCCTTCCTAAACTCCTTCAAGAGAAACCAAAGAAGGTCCTTTTCCTCTTTCTACTTCACAGATAGAACCACTCCCTAACATTTATCAAAACAAGCAAATTTCATCTGTTACAGCCATTGCATTCCTTTTGCCATGAGAAACCTTGTTTCTGTCCTATTCAGTAAAGCAGTGATTTTTATATGCTATGAATGGAAAGAGATTCCTAGTTCTTCGGGAGAAGCACAGGATGCTGATGTTTGCTTTGCTTTGATGTGAGCAACATCCTCAAGGACTGTTTTTCCAACTGTCCCGTGAATTTTCAGTGTTTAAGAAAACCTGAATGAGAAAATAGAAGTACAACTGTGCTCAGAGATACTACTTTATAAACAAGAAAAATGTTGAGGCACCATCTGCTTCATTTGAAAACTCCAGAAATGCTTCCTATAAAAAGCCGGGATTTCATCAGCTGAATGCTCTTCACAGATTTGCACACAAATGAAGGAATTCTATTACTACTTAATAACAGACTGCAGTGGTTAACACTGAAGGAAAGAATTAGGAGAACAAACCCCATTTTTATGAATGCAGAGTAGAAGGGAACTGCTTCATTGGTGTCAACTCTGAAAAACTGGGTGATATATTCATCTCAAAAAGTCAGCCCTGATGTTCATAGAAATGCATTATGCTACAGGAAGAATGAGAACAAGAGACCTTCCTAACAACCACATGCAAGTGCTTTATTCCACGTCTGCTAGTTAGTTACTCCCACACTCCCTGCTCAGAACACTTATCATCCTGTTAGGTTTCACCGAGATCTGAAATGCTCCAAATGCTGACTAAGCCAAGTCATCACAAAAAAACTAGACAAGGATCCAATAGCTTCTCTTTGGAAGACAAGTCAAGGAGGAAACAGCATTAGAAGTTGCTATCCAATAAAATGTAAAGTGGGTCTTTGCAGGTCTTCACGCTGAAGTGCTACCCCCTATGTGCACTTAAAAGAAATCAGACTAATGGTGTTTTCAGAAAGTAAAACTTAGGTACGTGGTCCCCCTCCTTCTCGCCTTGCTACACTGGAGATGTAAAACCTTAAATTTAGTATATTTCAGTAACACATGCTTCTACCATCAGCTTTTCTTGCTTTGATTTTTGTCTAGTAAAGTAGAAAAAGCTGTTGCGGACTGTAGTGCAGATACATTGCTTGTTTCTCTCGTGGTAGAAGAGTGTGCCATCATTCTGTATTTGCATTATATGGCCAAAGTTAGGTAGCATTGCAGTGGCTTACCAGCAGTAGCTAACAGCATGCACAGTGCTATAGGTTTGTGCATCTGTGTGCTGTTTGGTGTCTGAAGAGAAATACTTGATGAAATTCAGACAAAAGTGCTAAAAAGAGCTGGGTGTGTTCACACCCTATTGCTCTCTTCCCCAAGACAAAACAGTACTTGTCACCACCGAAAGATTGCTCTTGCTGTAGTGGGGCTTAGATGACATCAAGCAAATTATCAGCCAAGATGGCTTTACCTCTGTTGAAACTGCTTAGTATGGGGTAGAATATAATAAAAAAAATTCCCACTCCCATGTAAGGAAAAGAAGTGTTAGAAGTACATACCTGATGTAGAAGTTTTTCCCAGACAGAAGGCAATGGCAAGTGGCATTTTAGGCTTCTCACACTCATATCAGTATTACAAAGATTTAACTTTCCTCACAGATACTACGTCTAAGCTTTTGTTATAGCTGAAGAAGTCCCGACTTCCCTTTTTACTTTAATGGATGAAGGAATGGTGTTAGTTTTGGATTGTCTTTCAGCAGAAAGACTAGCTAGTGTTTGAACTTCATCTAAGATTGGGCAGTGACAAGAAATTTACATTTCTGCAGTGAAGTCTTCAATGTGTTCACTGCCAAGCACAACCACTGTACTCTGAAAGAGACAAGAGAGCTCAGGTTCTCCCCATACCTTTTGATGATGCATCCTGCTCACATAAGTTTTGGAATGTTATCTTCTTTACAGACCACCAGAAAGGTTCGTAGAAACTGGGTCTAGGACACAAAAATTCATTTTAAGCTTAGTTTATCCTCCCCAAAGCAGGAGAAGTAGTATTCTTGTTGCTTCAACTGTTGCTGTGTTCACATTCTGAATGATGTACATAGGGACAGCACTTGGAGATACTAGGATAAAGCATCAGATATTTTAATTACCTATACTCACAGAATATAACCTATATTATTTGGTGTTTGATTTTTCTATTTTAAGATTGCTTCTGATGCCAGAAGGAAAGCATCATCTACACCTGCGTTTTGCCGAGGACTTCAACAGACAAGTGGAAGATTTCCTACGCTGACTTAAACTGTAAAACGGGTTAGAGGTGTTTGTCCTTGCCTTGTTTAGGACTTTAAGTTGGCTTTCCATTTTCACTCAAGATACAGGTATGTTTGAGTCCTGTAAGAAAAAACATGAAGATATCTGCATGAGAAGCATACCTTTTGAGAATATGTAAGCCTCAGTGGATCAGGGCACACCACTATGCCGCAAGGTTTCTGACGTCTTTAAACTTACTTCTTGCCACACAGGCTGAATAGCTGTTCTGTGGTCAACAGAGATGTTAAGAAAGACAGAAAACACGATCTAGAATACATGCCTTTATGTGCTCTTAACATTAAAGGACAAAAACACTGCAATAACTGGGATTCAGAACTGTTACACTGAGAAATCTGTCAAAGTTACAAGTGCTGAGAGGTTAACTGGGTACACGGTTTCTAGAGAACATGCTTCACCACCACTATCAGAAGTCATTCAGTACACATGCCTGCTTTACAGAAGTCCCTTTGATACCAGGGGACTTAAGCCTCATCCTCTTCTCCTTCCTCTTCGAATTCCCCCTGCTCATCAGCAGTGGCATCCTGGTACTGCTGGTACTCGGAGACCAGGTCATTCATGTTGCTCTCAGCCTCCGTGAACTCCATTTCATCCATGCCCTCGCCGGTGTACCAGTGCAAGAAAGCCTTGCGCCGGAACATGGCCGTGAACTGCTCCGAGATCCTCTTGAAGAGCTCCTGAATGGCCGTACTGTTGCCAATGAAGGTGGCGGACATCTTGAGGCCGCGCGGGGGGATGTCGCAGACGGCCGTCTTCACATTGTTGGGGATCCACTCCACAAAGTAGCTGCTGTTCTTGTTCTGCACGTTGAGCATCTGCTCGTCCACCTCCTTCATGGACATGCGGCCCCGGAAGATGGCGGCCACCGTCAGGTAGCGGCCGTGGCGTGGGTCGCAGGCGGCCATCATGTTCTTGGAGTCGAACATCTGCTGCGTCAGCTCGGGCACCGTCAGGGCTCGGTACTGCTGGCTGCCGCGGCTGGGGAGAGGGGCAAAGCCCGGCATGAAGAAGTGCAGCCGGGGGAAAGGCACCATGTTGACTGCCAGCTTGCGCAGGTCGGCATTCAGCTGGCCGGGGAAGCGAAGGCAGGTGGTCACGCCGCTCATGGTGGCCGACACCAGGTGGTTGAGGTCTCCGTACGTGGGAGTGGTCAGCTTCAGGGTGCGGAAGCAAATGTCATACAGGGCCTCGTTGTCAATGCAGTAGGTCTCGTCCGTGTTCTCCACCAGCTGGTGCACCGAGAGGGTGGCATTGTAGGGCTCCACCACCGTGTCCGACACCTTGGGCGAGGGCATGACGCTGAAGGTGTTCATGATGCGGTCGGGGTACTCCTCCCGGATCTTGCTGATGAGGAGGGTGCCCATCCCAGAGCCCGTGCCGCCGCCCAGCGAGTGGGTCAGCTGGAAGCCCTGCAGGCAGTCGCAGCTCTCCGACTCCTTCCTCACCACGTCCAGGACCGAGTCCACCAGCTCAGCACCTTCCGTGTAGTGCCCCTTGGCCCAGTTGTTGCCAGCCCCGCTCTGACCTAGAGGGTGGAACCAGAACCCGGGTGCCATGTTAGTGCCCCGGGGAGGAACCGAGATGGTCCCGCTCCTCCCGCCCCGCAGGGTTCACCCATCACAGAATCACAGAATAGTATGGGTTGGGTTGTAAGGGAGCTCTGTGGATCACTTCCATCCCCCTGCTCTGTTGGGACCCAGTCGCCCCAGCTCAGCACAGGGAGCTCCCGCGTCGGGACACCTCCACCCTATGCTCACTCACCAAAGACAAAGTTGTCGGGCCGGAAGATCTGTCCGAAGGGGCCAGAGCGCACCGAGTCCATGGTGCCGGGCTCCAGGTCCACCAGGATGGCCCGGGGGACGTACTTGTTACCTGCGGGA